ATGTCGGGCCGGTTGCCTGCTCGTAGGCGCAAACGTGCCACCTCTTCGCATATCATGTGCTCCTGATACCAAAATGTAAAATCGGCCTGAATTCCCATACTTACCGAAAAAATGAGCCCCCTGAATTAGGCAACCTTTGCTTACACATATGTCGGGCCGGTTGTCCGCTCGCAGGCGCAAACGTGACACCTCTTCGCATATCATGTGCTCCTGATACCAGCAGTAAAAATCCGACATTTCCCATTACAATTTTGAGAGAAGCGATTCGCAACATTGTTGCGTTTGCAACATTGTTGATGTTTTGAGAGAAGCGATTTGCAACATTGTTGGGTTTGCAACATTGTCGAAGTTTCGTGAGGAGCGATTTGCAACATTGTTGGGGTTTGCAACATTGTCGAAGCTTCGTGAGGAACGATTTGCAACATTGTTGGGGTTTGCAACATTGTCGAAGCTTCGTGAGGAACGATTTGCAACATTGTTGAAGTTTTGAGGGGAGCGATTTGCAACATTGTTAGGTTTGCAACATTGTCGAAGTTTCGTGAGGAGCGATTTGCAACTTTGTCGGGTTTGCAACATTGTTGAAGTTTTGAGAGGAACGATTTGCAACATTGTTGAGTTTGCAAAATTGTCCAGAATTCCGAAAAATATACTTACAGACTTGTCGGACCGGTTGCCTGTCCGTAGTCGCAAACGGGCCACCTCTTCGAATCAGTTTTTTTTTTGTTTTATTGATAAGCGCTTCGACCCTTCTCGGGTCCATGCACACTATTATTGCACTATTATTACACATACAGAGAATTTACAGAGTACATAACCTTAAAGCTTAATATAGTTTATATGTTCTAATACACAGTCGAGTCATGCTTAGTTAGGTAAAAAGTATAACAAGAAATATGTACAATAATAACATAAAAATAGATTGTTTAAAATATATTTTATATGACTCAGTCTTGTGAGTTGTATAAAGCACTTCTGAAGGTATTGGTGATGTTTAAATGTTGATTCTATTGATTTGAAGAAATGCTGATACAATTTTTATTATATTGGTGTTGTTGCTCTGCAGAATTGGTTCTATTTTTTGAAGCGATGGGTAGCCCGGTTTCTGAAGTTGGCTTAGCATTTTTATATGACTCTCTGTGTAGAGCGGACAGTCCCAAAGAATGTCTGAATCAATTTTATGGACCAAAAAACACTAGCGCATCTAGCGGTGAGTCTCGAACTAATTTTGGCCAGCTTATAAGTGTACAAATCCTGCAGGAAACTAACTTTTAGGCTTTTTTAGTCGCGCCATCTATGACGGAACGCCTCAAGCTTGTCGACGAATAGTTCAGAATTTCAAACGCTAGATGGCGACCATAAATGAAACTTTATATTTTCTATTTTCCTCCATACAAATAAGTAATTCCTAATTGTATTCATCCTAATTCATCGTATTATGATTGAGTTATGCAGTAAAACTTGGTTAATGTTGACTTTTTTAATAAATAAAAATACAAAAGCAGCGACGCCATCTATGAGAGCCCGGCTCAAGTTTGTCATGGAATAGTTCAGAGGTTGAAACGCTAGATGGCGACACTGAAACAAGATTCCTAATTAATGTAAAATTCTTTATATTCACTAATTGTTTTTGCATAAATAAATTACATTATGATTCATACGATGTAGAATTTGATTTCTATGCAAAGACAATTAGAGAATATAAAGAATTTTAGATTAATTAAGAATCGTACGTCAGTATCGCCATCTAGCGTTTCAAACTCTGAACTATTCCATGACAAACTTCTGCCGTTGTCTCATAGATGGCGTCACTCCCGGTGTATTTTTAATTATTTAAAAACTAAGCTTCAGCCAAGTTTAAGTACATAAATTAACAGTTACTAGTTAAAATATAATGGATGCAGTCAGAAAAAATGTATTTACATACAGTAAAATTGAAAATGCAGACTTGCATAATTTGCGCCATCTATCATCTTGAACTTTGAACTATTTCACGACAAACTTGGGTCTTTTTCTCATAGATGGCGCCACTCAAAATGCCTAAAAGACAGTTTTCTGTACGATTACAACCCTCACAACATGGTAAAAACTACCATTTGTTGTCCTATGTCTTATGTAATCCTCAGAAATAATTGCTCCTAATATTCCTAATATTACAATACAGATCTATTCTAATATTTATTAATTAGATATTTATGCATTTTATTCGATTACCTGTGGAATAATTCGAATAATGCGGCCATGATCTGTTGGGTGGTTTACAGACCACATTCGCGAATTTCAGGTGGCCACGATAACCGCAGGTTTTTCTTATCGTTCCTGCAATTGAATGGCCAGAAACGATAAACGTAAACGTTCGATTCATTTTTTTCGAATGCTTTGGAGCGTATTTGTTTACAACAGATGATTCAATTAAAACCATTGTATCGCTAAGAAATAATATCGCCGAACAACATGTGAACTGATTCGTAACTGATTTTTTACGCATCGAAGGGACATCGACGAAAGATTCTCCAAAATGCCAGCAGAGTAACAGAGAACGAGTTGACAGAGAGAACACAGTAGATCTGTAAACATTGAAGATTATTTTACGAGAATGGGTGCGGACGCTAACTGCCACTTTGAATTGGAACGTATAAATGCTCCTGATAAGATTCCCCTTGACAAACCAAACCATACAGTACGTGTAAACAATTATCAACATTTTTACAATCCAAATGAAACATGACCAATAAATCTTTTCTTTGACCTATCTTCCCTGCTTCAATTGATATTTCTTAATTCTCTGTAAGAAAACACTTCCTGCATGCTTTCTGTAGTAACAGATCTTTATATCACAAGAATTCGAATCTAATCAGCACCTCCTAGAGAAAATTTAATATAAAAAATAATTTGTTTTCAGTATACCTGTGGCAGAGCCAAAGACAATGAAATAGTATGTCCCAGCTTGACAGTATCCCGTCGTCACTGTATTTTCTTTCGTAGCAGAGATGAACTGTTCATTACGGATTTGAAGGTACCATATATTCATTGTTTTGGTGTGCAATAATATTTCAATAAATTGTTTCTGACCTGTTCATTGTTATTTTAGAGTGCCAATGGTGTATTCATAAATGGAGTTCTCCAGAGCCCTCTTCAAACAATTCTGTTACATTTGAATGACATCATAGGGATCGGCTGCTCAGAGACTGATGTTAAGGATAAGAACATGTTCGTGTTCAGATTATCCTTAGCCACGGTAAAAATCTACCTGCAGCGGTCCGAACAAACATAACTTGTCTATTTAAAATATTCATTTCTAACTTACATTAAAACCCAAAACGTTCATTAAAACAAAGTATGTTTGTTTGGGCTATATACACACTACAATATCGAATAGTTACTAAACAGTTCGTTTTATATATCACAGCAGCCGCAATTGATGGAGATTGTCAGTGCCAGTGCTCTTTCGGAAACTGTATTGAATAGTACAAACGCGCTCGAGATTTGTACATCCAATGGTAAATTGAATGGTGTAGTCAAACGTAAGAGAGAAGACAGAAATCATGACAGAAAAGTCTCACCAAATAAAATACCCAAACTACAACTCGAGTTGAAAAAAGAGAAATCTTGTTCGGAGAAAAATTCAGAAGAAAGCGAGATCGAAATTATACACGTTTTGTTGAATAATAGCGCACAGAACAGAAGTAATGACAGTTGTGATAATATTTCAAGAAACATAGAAGTGAATAGATTAAGTGTAAGTAAACATACAGATAGCGATATGTTTGAAGTAAGCCATAGTGTACAGGATAAAAAGGAGAAAGGAAAGAGCAAGGAGACATGTAACTCGTCTGCAAATTTGGAGAATGTACAATTAGTTGTATCGAGTAATGTAAATAATAGGATTAAAGGGAAAGAGAACGTTACTAAGAATACGGAATCGACGGAGAAAAACGTATCGAAAAATGTTGAGAAATGTACGGAGAACAATCAACCGAGTAGCAAAGATACGAAGGTTTTATTAAATAGTCATACGCTTAACCGTAGCAATATCGAGTCCGAGAAAAGAACAAAAAATAATAAAATGGAAACAATAACTAATACAGAAACTACAGCGTCGAGTCACGATACTACAAAAAGTATCCCAGCGGAACCTTTATCGCCTTTACATCCGAATTTTGTGTACAACGGCGACACCTTAATTAAACTAGAAGACGAATTGCAGTTAACTGACAACGATGAAGAAGCGGTTTGGAAAGGCCAGGATACGATTTCCAGGGCGGATATATCGCCGATTAAATTGAAGAAG